AGGGTCGGAATAGGGCAGATTTCCGACAAACGTTCGACAACATTAACGGGGCGAGGAAAACGCAATTAACGGGGCGAGCAAGACTTCCCTCCCTCAGCACACCCCCTCCTGTCCACAATAGCCCCCCCACCCCCCTCCACACCCCCTTAACACTTTGCCCAACCCCTTCCATTCTCCTTAACCCCTCCCCTTCCCACCCCCACCACCACCAACCCCCCCACCCACCTCCCCACACACCCCATAATCCTTCCCAAACCCCTCCCATTAGATGTTTTCCAGGGTTGCCAGGAAAAACATGGAAGGCACATGATTATTTGGTAAAAACAAGAGAAAAACATAAGAATCACGGGAAAAAAAAACATTTTGCTTTCCTATGCTTCCTTTGCAAATAAGATGCTTTCTTTCAGATGTGGGACCCTGCCTCCTGTGAGACCCTGCCTTCCCCTCCGTGAGACCTTGCCATCTGTGAAACCATGCTGCACCCAGACTTCTGCAAGATGCTTTTTTTGGCGAGAAATTGCTATGACGCCCTGCCTTCTCTGATGCCTTCCCTTCTGGCCTGTTTACGACCTTTATTTGAATTTGTTTGCCCAGTGAGTGAGGCCTTGTCATGCGAGACCCTGTTAGATCTGTGAGACCCTGCAATCTGTCATGTGCGAGACCCCTCCTTCTTTCGTGTGTGACACCCTGCCTTCTGTCATATGCGAGACCCTCTTCTGCCATATGTGAGACCCTACCTTTTGTCACATGTCCGACCTTGCTTTCTCTCACATGTGAAGTTTTGCCTTCTGTCCTATGTGCGACCCTGCCTTCTATGAGACCCAGCCTTCTTTCACATGTTGGGCCTTGCCTTCAGTCAGGCCCTGCAGTCTGTGAGAGCCTGCGTTTCTGTGAGGCCTTCCCTCCTGTGCCTTCTGTGAGACCTTGCCTTTGTTCATAATGTTAGACCCTCTGTGAGACCTTGCATTCTGTGAGACCTTGCATTCTGTGAGGCCCTGCCTTCTGTGAGGACCTGCCTCTGTGAGAGCTAGGCCTTCATCCAACATGTGAGACCTTGCGTCTGTGTGACTATGCCTTTGTTTCAGATGTAAAAACGTGCCTTATGTGAGTCCCTGCTATGAGTGACACACCTTGCTTTCTGTGAGGCTTTGCCCTCTGTGAGACTTCGCCTTCCGTGAGACCTTGGCTTCTGTGAGGCCTTGCCTTCTGTGAGACTCTGCCTTTGTTTAATGGTCTCTGTCTTCTGTGAAGCCCTGCCTTTCTGTGAGACCCTCTGTGAGATCTTGCCCTTCTGCGAGGCCCTGGCTTCTGGGAGGCCTTGCTTTCTGTGAGACTCTGGCTTCTGTGAAGCTTTGCCTTCTGTGAGACCCTTCCTTCTCTGAGACCTTGCTTTCTGTGAGACCTTGCATTCTGTGAGGCCCTGCCTTCTGTGAGGCCCTGCCTTCTGTGAGGCCCGGCCTTCTGTGAGAGTTAAGCCTCAATTCAACATGTGACACCTTATGTTCTGTGAAACCATGCCTTTGTTTCAGATGTGAAACCATGCCTTGTGTGAGTCCCTGCTATGAGTGACACACCTTGCTTTCTGTGAGACCTTGCCCTCTAAGACTTGCCTTCTGTGAGACTCTGGCTTCTGTGAGGCCTTGCCTCCCTGGCTTCTGTGAGGCTTTGCCTTTTGTGAGACCCTTCCTTCTGTGAGACCTTGACTTGGCTTATAGTCTGAGACGTCCGGTAGGCAGGAGGCAGGAAATTTAGTGTTACTACTGCCCTAAAATGTGTCCGATTTGGTGTGTTTTTAGCATGTTCGTCGGGGAGGCTATTTTCGCAGGTTTTGGACAAGCAGGGGTAGTAGGCAGAAGTGTACCTCAGAAGGGTGCGAAACATATTGTGGCTTCTGCTTACTGCACCTCCTTTCCATTGAGGATATAATGAGCATATACATAGACATGTGCATATATACAAATAGATAGGTAGATAGGTAGATATAGATATATAGATAGATAGAGAGACATCGCCTCAGTTCGCGGCTCCATTTGCTGAACAGCACTGGCACTAACACTAGCACCAGCACTAGCACTGTCTATACTGTCTATCCTTAATGTATGCATGTACACTGCCTGTCCGCACGGGGACCCATACAACCCCGCAAATTAGGAGCAAATAGTAATGTAGTTCCATCATGGGGTAGAGAAGGACCAAGAAGAGGGGAAAAAGAAAGCAAACCCGCCCCCCCCACCATCTGCTTACTGCAGTACTATGTGTTTCATGACCTTGGGGTATTGGATACTAGGTGCAAGAAAAATCAAGACCGCCACTCCTACCAGTTGGCAGAGGGTGCATCTCCCACCGATACTATTCATAGCTAAGGATGGCCTGTAGGCAGGGATCCGCGCTGATGATCTAGTAATATCTAGTAAGAATTGTACCCCCATGCCCATCTAGTTGGCAAGTACACTTAAGTACCCCCGTGATAGCAAATTCTGAGGTATATGTAATTTGTTTATATACATAATGGTGGGAACCCCGGCCCCAGTAGGCAGATTCAGCTACATACAACATACAAACAAAGGCACCCCAGTGGGCAGAAGTGTACCTCAGAATTTGCTATCATGGGGGTACTTAAGTGTACCTAATCTGCTTACTAGATCATCAGCGCGGATCCCTGCCTACCAGCTGTCCTTAACTATATTCTATGATACCCTGCTGCCTTCTGTGAGACCCTGGCGAGACCCTGTCTTCTGTGAAGCCCTGCCTTTCTGTGAGACCCTGCCTTCCTTGATGTGTGAGACCCTGCCATCTGTTCTTATCGAAAAATGTGCAGCATGTCTATAGATTGAATCTTGCTCCTATCGAAGACCAAATATAAAATCCTAAGCTTCAGTTATGGAAGAGTGTCCAGGGCCGGAAAGTGAGCAAGAGCAGCTCGCGTGTGGGAGCAGTAGAGGAGAGCAACAGTTCGGGAGCGTGTGATTTCACGGGTGAAAACACCTTCAGGTGCGGAATCCTTTATTTCCCTGTCTATTGTGTGAGACCCTGCATTGCGCCATATGTGATACGCATGCTTGTAGCCAAACTAGGCTTGGCACCCCCCTGCCTTCTGTGAGCCTGGCTTTGTTCAATGGGCGAGACTGTGTCTTCTGTGAAGCCTTTCTGCGAGACCTTCTGTGAGACTTGGCCTTCCGTGAGACCCTGGCTTCCGTGAGGCCTTGCCTTCTGTGAGACCCTGGCTTCTGTGAGGCGTTGCCTTCTGTGAGGCCCTTCCTTCTCTGAGACCCTGCCTTTGTTCATAATGTTGGGCCCTCTGTGAGACCTTGCTTTCTTTGAGGCCTTGCCTTCTGTGAGGCCCTGCCTTCTGTGATGCCCTGCCTTCTGTGGGAGTTAGGCCTCAGTTCGTTCAACATGTGACACCTTGTGTTCTGTGAAACCATGCCTTGTGTGAGTCCCTGCTATGAGTGACACACCTTGCTGTCTGTGAGACCATGCCCTCTGTGAGACCTTGCCTTCTGTGAGACCCTGGCTTCTGTGAGGCCTTGCCTTCTGTGAGACCCTGGCTTCTGTGAGGCTTTGCCTTCTGTGAGACTCTTCCTTCTGTGAGAAACCCTGACTTTACTTTGTTTGTTTATGTTTTATTTTATGATGCCCTGCCTTCTGTGAGACCCTGCCTTTGTTTAGTGGGCGAGACCCTGTCTTCTGTGAAGCCCTGCCTTTATGTGAGATTCTGCCTTCCTTGATGTGTGAGACCCTGCCATCTGCTCTTATTTATTTGAAGATGTTTGATGGGCGAGACCCTGCCCTACCTTGCCCTCTGTGAGACCATGCCATTTCAAGCTCGTTCATTTGAAGATGTTTTGACCTACAAGAAACAGGAGACCACTGCTGTCCTGATTCTCCTTTGAGAATCACATGTGATGGATCTGCCCACAGGCTTTGTACGAACCTGAGCCCTTGACATTGCAAACTCGTGCTGGATACCATCCAAGCGCACTGACTGAGAAGTTTGAGCCACAGTTCTCGCAAACTGTCAAATTCTCAAATTGTCATGTTTTTATTTTCCTTGTCATGTTGTCATATTTTCTTCATTATCTTCCATGATTTTCCCTAATTTCCCATGTTTTCTCATATTTTTAAAGGTGGTTTTCTCACCCCATTTGGGTCTCACCCCCCAAACTTTTCAGTAGCAAATTATCGATGATTTACTGTACCGATTAGAAATGGTGATTTTCCATGATTGGTTAAGTTATGTTTGTTTACTGGATGGTATCATATACATTCATATGTTTGTCTATGGAAAAGGGTGCTGCTGGCAGCGCAAACGCACGTGTTTCCGTCGAGTGACACTGAAGGTGAGTCAGGCTCGGGCACGATGGAGCAGATCAATGGTAAACAGCTGACGATTCGAAGACCCGTTGACGGCACACAGCATTTGCTCAAGTGTATGTCTGAAAATGGGGTATCCCCTGAGAGTATGATTTCCTTTGTAGGGAAAATGATGACTGGCCAGTGGATGGAATGGGGTACCCGATTTTCAGACAAGCCCAAGTATACATTTTTGTTTTTGTCCTTCAGTCATACTTAACAATTATTATTTGGTTTTCTGTCAAAGTCACTTGAGTAGTACAAACTATGTTTGTGGGTGTTTTTTTCAGAAACACCTTACTTTTAACATGTTTAACTTTTAACCGTCCTTCAAAGAAGGTTCAAACTTTGGGCTTTTGGGTTGAAATGGTTTTATTTTGGCACAAAGTTGACGAAACATGGTTTGCTTGACTCTTTTCTTTACTCGCACGCATGTACCATGAGGGCTGGCCCGTGCTTGAGAGTGTGCACTCAAACCATGGTCTACTATTCCTAACAGATGTTTATGAAAGTCTTGTGATTGTTGGTGAGTGATGCTGATTGCCAGGAATCCAATGGACAGAGGGATTTGAAATAGTTTGAACCATCAATTTTCCCAAAAAAAAACAATCCAAAACCAGCAGCAGATCGCCTTCTGATCCACTGAGGCCGGGGTGTTTTTTCCCACTTTCCTCGGGGCTTAGTCTTCAACAAATGGACGGAGCACTCGGCGGCACCGCCTGTCTCTGGTCGAGTCTTGCTGCGCAGCTGGGACTTTTTTAGTGATCATACCCTCCGGTGTCATCAAACATGACATTTCCGTGACCACAGTAGCTGGGAGATCCACAATATAAATGGGGAAATGGAAAAATCATTGAACTAGTTGGCGGATTGAACAGATGGCCATGGCCATGATTGCCAGAGGGTACACTTCTGAATTGCACCAACACAAATGTCGCCATTCACCAACAAATATGACAAGTATGTGAATCTTGCATCCAGAAATGATGGTTCATTGGGTAATAGCAGCTGGTTATAGCTGGGGAGCATGGACCGATCTGTTTCAAGATATTTTGCTGTATCACACTGCGGACAAACAACATGTTGCTTTGTGATGTACTAAGCTTTCCCACTCCATTGACAGAGCATCTTGCAATGCGTGTAATGTCTTGGTTTGTGCAAAATTCAATTACCTGTAGCCTAAAGCACCTTTTGCAGTTCATAATTTTGAGTATCCAGCATGCATGTCATTTTGATGCGTAGGTTGACACTGAATTCAGGTGTGGTTGTGCACCGACGCCGTTGGGCCATGGGCATTGGCTTTGGAACAAAGGATGTCACTGCGCGAGGAGATCCAGAGCCCTGGCGGATTTGTTTCAACAGATGTTCACGGTCTGCTAGTTTGCTGCTGTTCTTTTTTGTTCTCCATTAATTACCCCGACTGGAGTGGACTGGAGTGGACTTCTAGAAATGTTATTTTCTGGTGGATAACCTTACTGGGGTGGATTCGTGGAAGTTTGATATGCTACGAACTATGATTGCTGTTTGGATATGTTTTGATGATAAATTACTTCGATGTATTATTTCATCATCCATAAAGAATCAGCCACTAGATTTGATCTGTGTCAGGAATATGATCGAAGCTTCTTTGGTCTGTATCATGGTGGCGGCAGTATCAACTGCTGTGCCCTGGGTCAGAGATACTACAAGACCGCGCAAGAGGAGTGGCCTGAGAATCGCTTGGCCATTCTGATTGACTCAGATGCGCGAAGCATGCAGTGTTTTTGTGGTCTACAACCCTTCGGTGAGCTGTTTGCAGAGCTACCCAAAGAAGAGCCTCTTTGGCCCATGATTGTGTGCATGGCCTGTCACGATTCGGTGAGCATTTCCATTGCTTCTGTTTGAGAAAGACGGGGAAAGCGCTTGGGTTGGGCAGCATAGGGGCTTGTTTCAAATAGGATCCTAGTTTACCATAAATGTCCTTTTTTCAAATGAGAAAGTGGGGTGCATCCCATTTTCAGACACACCCATATTATGGCAAACCTGCATAGGCCACTCTGTTATTCACGAACATGGCTCGCATGTATTGTACTTTGATGTACCAAAGTACATCTCTAGGAACTGTCACAGACCCGGTTCTTTGTTGAAAACACTGGTTGACATCTCATATCCCATAGGATCCATGTATGCTATATATGCTAACATTGGGGGTATATTGATGGTAAATGTTACCATATATATATATATAGCAGCACCATGGATCCTATGGGATATGTGGACCATATTTCTTGGTTAAATCAATGGATAAACCCTCAGTTTTTCCCCGAGGAGATCTTTATGTTGGTGAATTTCTCAACTGTTGCCGCTGAAAGCTATATATATATACATACACATAGAATTAATCATATATATATATAATCATATATATATACATGATTATATATGTGTTGTGAAGAATCCTGGATTACTGCTAGTAACTGGCGACATCACCTGTTTTGCTGGTTACGTTTTCTGTTTTGATAAACATTGACTGGTTTATAGTGTGTTTCAATGTTTTTTTGCTGGTTACATCACCCATGTGTCATAATGTTGACTGTTTTTTTATCACCGTTGATCCAGTTTGGGTTCCATTCGAGCTCCATTAAAAAAAACTATAGGACATGATAAACATATATATAGAACTATTATAATATCAACATCATCAATATTACCATCAGATTCTATAATATCTATCAGTTTCTATAATATTATCCAATCAGATTCTATAATATCTATCAGATTCTATTATAACAATATTCAGAATGATAACATCTATTATTCTTAAATTCAACAATAACAACAATCCATCCCAAAATCCACAGAGATCCCCAGATCCCCTCTTAGGTGGCGCTATTGGTGATCTCCCCCACCAGGGAGTTGGCGCTGCAAATCCACCGGGAGGCGACCAAAAAAATTCCCAAGCTGTGGGGGATTTTGGATGTGATTTAACATGGGTTTATAACGTTTATAACATGGTTTCACCATGTTTAACCATGTTTAACCATGTTTATAACATGGTTTCACCATGTTTAACCATGTTGAAGTTCTGAAGATGTTCTTTGGTGAAGATATCATTGGGAACATGTATGTATATATAGATATAGTCGGGAAAGCAACCAACATGGAGTACATTATGGGATACAGCTACGAATTAGCAATACTACGGGATACAACTAAGCAAGAATAGTGGAAGGATCTTGCTACAGAGTACCGGAGGACAGGGGGCTACTTTTTGATCCCTCCACTAGGCTGAAATGCTGCTGTCGACCCATGAGATCCCGTCGATGTGCATGATCGGAGGAAGCTCAGCCAAGAGATGCCGGGGGATCTCCGCACCATGATGTGCTTAGACGATGTTCGACGTGTTGGTAATGGGTGAAATGGGTGAATTGATCAGTCCAAGTTTGGATCCGTTCAGCATTCAATCTGTGGCTGCTTGGTGACCAAGGAACGAGTACCCGTCATGACCAGGTCGGAGCCGTGTGGGGAGCTTGGATCATTTGGATCACTCAAACGAACTTACCAGGCACGAAACTCCATAAGGATCCATAAGGATCCATGAGGTATTCCACATGAGTGCTCACTTGTATGGTTCTCATTCTCCTCTTTGGGCAGGTCTTGGTGAGAAGGAAGAAGCCACGGGTCTTGGTCGGGCGTCTCAGATGGGCAAATTGCAAACCCAGCATTGTGTAAGATACGCTGGATCTGGTCTTAGAGGTTCGTTTGATGCTGAATCGATTGCTGGAATATGTTTCGTTTATTTTTGTCTACATTCGGCGTTGTTTATTGTTGATTTAAAACTGTTTGGTTTCAAAGATGCTTGTGAAAAGTTTCGTAGTAGCACGCTGGGGCAGCCTCCACAAGGGCAGCATGAAATATTATGAGAACGATTGAAAAGGTGTGCTTCTTCTGGAGCAGCATCAGCGCTGGTTCACTTTGCATGTGAAGGAAAGTTTGGCTGTTGGTTTTTTGAAAGTCTCCATGGGTTACCTGACAGGTCCACTTCCATTTGATTCATTTGAATCTGATAGGTCATGCTGTCGACCGGACTGCAACACCTCATAACCCAGGGCATGTCATCCCCCAAAAAGCATACAATGGGGTGAAGGGAATATGATATGTTTACATGTTTTTACAGCATGTAGCATTCAATATTCTCCAGTCTTGATGGGTATCCCATTGACCAAAGAGACCATTCCCGTGGACCCGTGGACCTTTTGGGCAGATCGCAACTCCTGGACGTTTACTGGAGCATCTTGAGAGGTGTGCCTTGGTTGGGACATGTTGGGAGTGGAGGTGGTCATTTTTGTTCCTGGGAAAGCCTATGGTTGAGTTTAAGAGACACCTATTTTGGGAAGCCCCCATTTAGGGTTGGGTCTTCTCAGAGATTTCCATTTGTTCGACTCAGGTATTCAACGCATGTTTCAGGCTCTTCCCACCCCCCACAATCCCCCACCCTGAATGGCGCAGTGAAAAACAGCGGCCACAACAGGACTTACCTTTTTCCAACTCTCTTCGACAAGCTCCAAACATTTGACAGAGCCTCAGGCAGGGTTGGCTTCCCCCCAACCATCACCATGGATCAATACCAGTTCATCCCATCTTTTGAGATCTTTTGACCACAGCACATATATCACATTAATCATTTTTCATATATGGTGTGTCTGAAATATCTGAAACTACTATAAAATACTGTAGCCCAAAATTCAATGGTTGATCATATTCCCTAAAAGATCAGACCCTTTGGTAAACGAACATAGCCATGGAAAATTGTCCATTTAGTTCAATGATTTACCTACGCAGTAACTTGGTGATTTATCTCCACAGGCAAATTTAGAAAACTATTGAATTCCCAGAGGGTATTTCATAGGTGAATTGTCCGTCCTCATATCACCTGAGCAGTGTTTAAAACCCGGTTGATTGTGGACAAATATATATTATAGCTTATACTATGTCATACTATCCAATATATTGGTGGTTATCACAACGCATACCGGGAATCCTGCTTAACCAACCAGTTTCAAGGGACACACTGCCCAGTTGGTGGTTTCTATCTGAGTAAAAATGCCCTTGTTGATTGGTGATTACAGGGACTTATACGTACAGTTATACTACCTGGCTTAATTCTTTCTGATTATTATAGCCAGTAGAGAAACCTATCAACCAACTAGTATAGAGCTAAATTCATATTTTTTGAATATGTTTGACCATAATTTAACCATGATTATAGTCCAACGTATCAATTCAATGAAACCTATCTACAACATTCTATAACCATTAACCATGCTTATAGGCCAAGTTATAAACCTATCAACCATAGCCATGGATTGCTATGACATGCTATGACTATGATCCCCATGGGGCCCCATGGCCATGGAAAATTTCATGGATCCCCATGACATGCCGAGGTCTTGGATGAAGCAGATCGACTGTTGAGCCTGGGATTTCTGCCGGAGGTCAGGGAGATCGTGTCCTACCTGCCATCCAGGCGGCCGCTTTCCAGGGATGTGGATGATACATAAAAGGAACTGGGGGATGGTAATGATGGTATATAGAATTCATAGAGATGTTCTGGAAAAACCATTGATGAATATGATTCAATGATCTCAGATAATCATAGATAATCATCATATATTTTTAGTTTGCCAGGTTCCATCTTACTTGGGCACACCATCTAATTTATCTCAAACATGATCTTATGTGTTTCATACGTGTCAAAATGTCATGTCCACAAATTGTGCACCGTACTCCGTGGCGCCAGGCGCCGCACGATGCTCTTCTCGGCGACCATGCCGGAAACGGTGCGCAGTGGTTGAACCCTGGTTGAATCTTCGGTGAATGGAGGGGCAAAAGGTATGGTCAAAGGATGTAAAAAGGTCAAGTGACTCAAGTGGTCTGAAGTGACACTGTAAGAATCTGTAACATTGAGGATCTACTTAGATCCAGATTGCACCTGTTTTGAACAGTTTTTGGAGAGATCATAGGATGCCAACCATCGAAAGTGGGATACGGGTACAAACAATGAGGGTATCCCATCAAACAAATTCGAAAAGGGGAATGGTAAGCTTGAAAAAGTAGGGATGTTAACCGAGATTGATTTACAGATACCCACAACTACTACAGATCATAATATTCAAGATCTTCAAAAAATCCAGATTCTACACCTCCAACATCTGAGTATGGGTCAAAATTCGCATAAACCATCGATTCGGTCCATTTTGTGTATTAAACTACTCTCTGCGAATCAAATGTGGTAATGGAAAGTCACCCATTTCTAGAGGAATCTCCCATCAAAACCTTCATTTATAGGAGATGTCCCATTGCCATGTTTGATTGCCGGAGGGTAACTAATTAAGCATCCAAATCTTGGGGCCCAAGTTTGACCCATCAACACTTCGGGATATTCCTGAACTCTCTTAACTGTCATTTTTAACCGGATACCCTCTGGTAAACTAACATAGCTATTGAAAATGGCCATAGAAATAGTGGATTTTCCCATTAAAAATGGTGATTTTCCATTGCTATGTTAGTTTACCAGAGGGTAATCAATGAAATTCATCCATAGATGTGGCATGGCTACACATCGAAACCATTCGAAACCCCTGTGAACCCAAATATAATTGGTAAATGGACGTTCATTCCCCAAAAAAAATGGTATTTCAATGTACCCTCGGGTAATTTAACGTGGCTATACTCCTATGAAAAGTGGCCCATTTAGTTCGATGCGTTCGATGATGTACCTATTGAAAATGGTGATTTTCAACAGCAAACTGTTAGTCATCGCCAAAGGGTAACCCATTATTTCCAGTCATATTCCCATTCAAATTCCATGAAGTTATATAAGCACCATTTTTGATGGTAACATCATGTTTGATGGTTAAGTCACCATTTTTAATGCTTATCACTTATCATCATATCACCAGGAGGGGATTCAGCCAGGTGATGGACGTAATTTCGAAGGCCTGCCGTGGTAACTACCGCTATATCGACTGCATTGAAGAGGAGCCCGGCCCAGGGGGCCTTGGACAGGGGCTGGAGAAGCGAAATTTCGCAGTGTAATCCAACCATATCTAACCAATAATTGAGATCTAGCCTGATCTAACCAATAAACATTATATATATATACATATTATATATATACATATTATATATATATGTATGTATATATCTAACCAACAATTTAGATCTAACCAATAAAGATTGCATCTATCTATGAGCAAAAGTGATGATTCGATGAGGGGTTCACCAGCCAAATGGCTGGTGGATGACAGATTTGCAGCTTTGCAGCAACAAACCTGGGATAGATTGGATTGCTGGATCCCAATTTTGATGATTTGTCCAGTCATAAACCTCCATTGAGTTTGGGGATTTCCCAGGTATGGGTGATGACACCTGGCCCAGTGATGGCATTCGCCATGGAAATGCGGCGAAGGAGTCACAGTCTACAGCTTTGATGGCCCAGCAGTTCTATGTGGTGTTGCCCGGGCGCGGAAGTGCTTGGGATGAGTGGTTGACCATCATTCTTTGGTGCAATCAGTTTGAAAGCTGTCAAATTGTTTTTACTAATCATGTACAATGTCACTCAGAGGAGTGAGTACTTAGAGACTTAGATGATCCCATGTAGCCATGAGTCAAAACCCCAAGTGGCCCAAAACTATGTCCCCCACATCAAAAGTCATCAAAACAGCTGGGTGTCTTCATCACCCCTTCTGATCCATCCTGTTAGGCACCAATGCCTGGCCGCGCTGTACAATCTCATCATCAACGAAATGGCAAGCAACAGGTGCCCCCTGCGCTTGGTTGAAACACCATGGTAAGTTGACCGGATATCATGGGTATACAATGTATACAACTAATGATGCCATTTAATTTTTTCCATATTTTTCCAGAGACCTGCTGAGTGACGAATAAAGACCGAGAAAAATGGATGATGTGATCCGACCCCGCAGGCGGTTTTTTGTTCTTCTTGGTGCTCGCATGCGATATATAAGCACAAGGATCAAACAGAATTACAGTACTTACGATGGGTGATGCCTTGCAATTCACATCAAAGCATCAGCCAAGGGTTACTCGGTCAGTTACTCTAAGTCTCTAAATCAAAAGGATGGGACGCGCTGCCCACAGAAGTTGTAACCTATACTTAGCTGTGCCCTGCCACTGTAGGTACAACTACAAGATTCTTGTCTTTTTTGCCACAGCCACTGGCCTCAGACAAATGGGATGCCCCAAATGGGCTGTGTCATGCCGCAAATAGATTTGCTATGATTTGCTGACAGGGATTGATAGTTGACATGGAAATAGTATGAAATAGTTGTGTCAGGGGATGCTTTTAAGATCTTTTAAGGTGTTTTCTTTAGCCATTCAATATCTAAATATCAGAGCTGAGGCACGGATGACGACCTTCATGGCACAGTTCGCAACCGAGATGTGAAGATCAAGCGCAGCTTGCGGGTGTTGATGTGGAAGGTTGCGGAAGTGATTGGAAGTGATTGGAAGTGATTGGAGGTGGGTGTCTCTTATATAAACTGGGGAAAAAAAAACTGGGTCAAAACCCTCGGATGGCCCCTTTTCTGCAGGGACCACCACGGGTCACCATGGTTCACCGTGGCGTCCCAGGTTCTTCCGTCAGCAGCTCCGCATTGGTGTCTATGAGATCCATCGGCGACGTGAGGTCTGGCCATTGGGGGCCGGCATGGGCAAAGACTTCTGATTCGGGTAAACCATAGGAATCCTGGCTTACCTTACCAACAAGCAGGAAATGAAAGGCATGATGGCATTAGGATTCACTTGACTCAACGAAAAGATGGCAACAAGGATGCAATCTTCATAAGACCAGAAGTCAGAATTCGTTTGAATTTAGGTGCGTCAATAAGGAGCACACCATACAGGAAGAAAAACACTATAAATTTCGTTAAACATCGTTAAACTATGTGCAATGATATTCAATGTCCACTTTATGCAGAGAGTATTTCTGGTTTGGGTCCTTTCGGTACCCCCAATATTCGGATTGCATACCATTGCATACCATTTCGGAAGAGGTAAAACGGCGAGGCCTGCAGCCAGGGGCTCTGTAAAGTTAAAGCCGCCAAAACATGTCTCTGATAATTGCCATTGTTGATAATGTTAGTGGATGTTAGTGGATGTTGGTGTTGAATCTGGAATCGACTTTTGAATATGGTTGATTGTGTTTCGAAGGTTTTGGCCTTCGATTGACAGCATCCACTACAAAAAGGAGGAATTGATAAAGACGTAGAGGTTGATGGGATAATTTGAATTTGATTATGATCAGATGATGCTGAGGTACACCAGATCTGTATACTGAAGACTGAATTCAGGTTTCTTGTTGAGACAGCTCCAAGTGCCTGTTGATCTCATCGCTGAGTGGGCTCATCTACAGCAAATTTGCGTAGGGAGGAACCCGCTGTGAAAAAACGGTACGATGAATGTCGTTGAGGCCGGGTGAACGGAGGGAATATGAGGGAATGGAGGGTGAAAGTCGATGAATTTGTCACCCAGTCCTGGGTGTAAAGTCGAATCTTGGAAATCCTGATGCGACCCATTGGGTCATGCTGAGCCACAGATGCTCTCAGGCCTTGATGAATATGGAGTTCTGGGCGCCTCTGTCGCCAGAGGCGCAGGTTGGAGTCTTTGCTGTTCAGGCGCAACAAAAAAGCTGTCAGAAGGCAACGAAAAGAATCACAAAGGCTCCAGTTGCAGTTACTACGCTCCGGTAATCTAACGTGGCTGTTGAAAAGTTCCCCATTTATAAATGATGTTCGTATTTGAAATATCCATGTGTAAGGGATTTTTCATTGCGACGTTTGATTACCAGAGAGTATCAGTCACTTACTGTCAAGATTGCGAAGTTGTTGTGGCCAGTTTCTTGCTTGATGCTGGGCAATTCTAGATCGATGTAAATCATCTCGACACACCTATACTTTTGATAGTTCGTGAACGACCGGCAGGTGCTGATGATGCTCTATCTATCGCTCAGCTTTTTGAACAAGCAAACGATCTTGTAACTCTGTCCCAATAAGCAGAACAAGCCAGAACTATTGGACAAAATCTGGACACAAGGGTTGCAAGGGGTTCTTGAAACATCTTAAACATTCTTAAACGAAATTGTCACTTTGTCATGTCAGCTGTTTGTTGGAAGATTTTGGACTTCAGATCTTTTCAGATTCGGCCAGGAAAGTTGCTTCGATGGTCCGGAGTTGGCTCTTTTCTCGTGGACCAGATTCGTCAGATCCGCTGAGGATCAAGAAACGAGTGATCTTGAAAATCCGCCAAGCTCTCGCGCCGTAGCTTGGGAATGGTTCAATATGTTTTAAGATTCATGTTAGTAAAGCAGTGTCATAAACTATAAACCACACATATTTTGATGGAGTCTATACCATCCATTTATGGTAAATTTTGGGATGGTTTACTCTTGTTTTACTATAGCATAATTGCATCTTATTGCTTTGTACTCAGAGGGAAAGACATTCTCAAGACACTTTTAACCAGAAATGACAGCAGAAGGGTCTTAAGGTATGTGCTCGCCTTGGTTTTGTGGCTGACATCGCTCTTTTTCGCTGGCTTTGTCTACTCCGGCTGGGTGTTATCCAACAGCCTTGGGGCGAATTTCCATTTCGATCGCCATGCGCTGGCTTGCGCGATGATGCTGCTGTGTCAAAGCAGCGGTGCGGCACTGCTCTGTGCCTTGAGATGGAAGAAAGCGAACGGAGTGCTCTTGGATCTTGGTGACTGGACAAATTTGGAGAAAATCCCAACAAAAGCATGAATAAGATAGGAGTGAAAATTCAGCTGACTTTTGACATTTGCATCATTTTTTTGTGAATTTGCTCGTGCCAGGTCATCTCAGTCGAGATTTGTCCTGTAAAAATTGTTTTTTTCAAGCAACTCATCTGGTTGACCACAGCTTCCACCCAGTATGATCCTGGTTTTGTACCCCCCAGAGACCCTGGTTTTGTATGGAAAAATGTAGTTGATCTGTTCATTCTGGCATCCTTTATAGGAGCTATTGAATGTTGGGGACGTTCACGCGTTCACGCCGAGGTTATGGAATGATGATGGTCTCTTTGAGCATCACAACACTACCTGGTGTGTGTCCCGGAGAGATCCTCACGGTCGTTGTTTGCTTGGCTCTCCAGCATTTTTCAGCAAGTTTTCATTTGCACGGAGCTTTTTCGAAGTGGCAAATCGGGTTTCCATAAATGGGGGTACCCCAAACTGGATGGTCTATAATGGACAATCCTATTAAGATGGATAATTTGGGGGTACCCGTACCCCATTTTTAGGAATCCCCCAAATAGCATCAATGGTTTGAATTGCAAAGTCTATCAGCTGATTTGGGACCTGTTATAGGTTCAAAGCCATCCCCACTTTCACAAATGCTGCATCATTGATTCCAGAATGTCAAAAGCACTACTCGTATCTGCTAAGCATGAGGAAGGGTGATGAAATTATATAATATGTTATAATATGTACAAAAAACAAGATCAGCCTGTACAGACTTTGGGATCACAACTACTTTTCCAGGTAGAGGTGCCTCGTTTCTTGTTATGTTTCTGAGATTTTCTGAGGTTTAACCTTGGGGGTCTTGATTATGTAGCTAATCTGGCTGACCCAGGGTAGAATAATGCTTGTTTTTACTAAAAATGTCACAAAAGCCTTGGAGGCCTTGATCGTGTACAGTTGAATTCTTCTTGGGGGTCCTGATTATATATAGGAAAAACCCTCTATAGCTTGGGGGTTCTGATTATATACCCATAGAATCAGACACCCCAACCCTTTAGGTGAATTCCCAAGGGGATAATGTGTATATATATATATACACACATAATTATATAGTCCGTTCTCCAGAGATCAATTGTTCAAAGGATGGTGTAAAGAAACGCTCGGAAGTGAAACTTACGTTGATGTAGACGTTGCGTTCACATTTCGTTCACATTGCGTTCAAATAAGTTCAAAGTGTATCAAAATGTGTTCAAGTTGCGGTCAGCGTATCCTTCGGGGCAACAACAACCGCTCACGAATGTAAAAAAGATACACAACGAGTTTTGGAGCGTCGAAATTCACAAACGTGGAAAAAGCACGTGGAGAAAGCAAGCGAAAAGGCAATCTTTTGAGAATGGACTGATTCGCAGTCGGCTTATCAATGGATGTTTGATGATTTTTGATATTTTTGTCAGGTGTGGATTGTTCGATTGGCGCTGCTGCCACTGGCGAATTCCATGCTCTGGGTGATGCTTGCAAATCTGGGCTGCTCTATTTGCATGAGACTTCGCCTCCAGAGGCGAATCTTAAACCATCCAGGCGCCGGGACTCACCAAATAGATCCCGCACTGAACCAGAGGTTTCTGGGGAGGGTAGTGTATTTAATATATATTTTAATATTTGGGGGAAGGGATTATTCGATCTTGTGGCTGTGCGCAGTTGTTGCAGTTGTTGCAGTTGTTTCTTCTCCTTGGAATTCAACGAGGTGACTTGGGGACGGTGGCGGAGCAGTTGGTCACGGTAGACTCTCGATTGAAATCTGGCATTCCATTTCCACCAAGAAATGTGGTAAATCGTAAACCCAAGTAATGAAACCTGGTTCTGATGTTTTCTGGGAACATAAATGGTGACTGGTTTATGAAATTGGCATACAACTTTTGTTATTTGACCATGCTACTTGTATTTATATGCCGTTAATAAAGCTAGCTAAAAACCACAGGATTCCACTTGATACCCAGCTACTGATGTCTCGAGGTGAACGTTAATATCTCCCAGGAGGGTCTCCCCCAATTGGCACCGAGCGTTGCAAGACATTTGGTCTAAGGATTTGGCTGTCCTATCATTGTGCTGCGTCACTTGGTTATGTGCACAGATGCTTGGCTTCACTCGACCGCTGAATGAAGCAAACTGCCAGCATGTCGCGGTTGGATGCGGTTGGTCCTTTTGGGTTCTATCCATCCCCAAATTGCCAGGATTGCCATGGGTTACAATGCAGATCAACAGATGGAGACGCAAGAACTGAAAGCAGAGAGCAATGCTTGCGCCTCCCTGTTCCTTGGAAGGTTACCAGTAGTGTCACTAGTGGATACATGTAAGTACCAAATTGAACCAGTATTGACGGTTGTTATCCGCTTTGATTATTATCCATTTGCCTTCTTGCAATCTAGCAGGAAACGGTTCCTCCAATTCAGGTGCAGGTCCAGTAGTTGGTCATGCAAACGGAATATCCATGGTGAAAAATTGGAAAAAGTACCGTGCTGAGCCCAAGCCAAGCAAGGTTGGCCACCATTTGTGATGCTCATTTCTTCTTGAACAAGCAGCTGAACTTCGAGCAGCACGAGCGCACCCTCTCGTCCATTTTGGTGCAGTCGAGCCACACCAAGGATCGGTCCTTTGCACCTCGAATGAAGTGCTATAGGTGGAAAATATGGGAATTATGAACGAGGCTACCCTCGTTTTTAAAGGGTTAGTTCTTAAACGGTTCATATGGTGAGGGTTTTGCAAATTCTCATTGTTATTTTCATGTATTTTCCCAATTTTGAATTATGTGGAAATAGTGTCTCCAGAGACAGCTCTGCAAGCAGCGAATCCAAAACAGAGCAGCCATCCAAAACAGAGGCACCGCGGGCTGAAAAGCACACGCGCCAACACATGCAGGAAGGGATTTGCTGCTGCGCAGCCGTAGAAAAAATGAAAAAATAGATCAAAACGTTACATAAAAGGTTGGCAGACAACAAGGCCAGAGAGTCAATAGCTCAGTTGGTAGAGCGTCAGCCTAGCAAGCGGGCGGTTGGAATTGCAATCCCTACGGGCCTCTTGCACTGCGTGGAACATACATGGTTTCAGCTTTAGCTTTACTTGAGTTTTCTTTATCTGCAGTACATGAGTTGGATGTTCCCGCTCATGTATCCGTCCAACCAGGTCTAAAAAAAAATATTTGATCATCTTTGGTATATTTATACCCGTTAAAGGGGAACAAGAACCAGTGGCTAGAATTCCCGGGCACCCTAGGGTTCTTATTTCAATTAACTGACAGAAAGGGTTGAATCCAGCAATCCAGCCCTTGAAGTTCTTTTTGCAGTGGGTTCTTAAACAGTGGTTTCACCCTACTCAGTTGTAGCCAACCTCACTGATGCGATTTGATGTATGGTACAGTACTTGGCTTTTGGTACTTCCATGTACTTCCAATAAGTGATCGATGTTTTTTCAATTTCCTGGCTTCGAACTTGACACATATGAACCGTTATATCGTTATTGTGTTTTCAGGAAAAGTCCAAGACCTACAAGCATCGATGGCTGAGCCATGATCAAGGAAGCCAGATCTATAGTCACGATTGTCACTATGTAAACGGTGGTGAACCATGTTTATGATATTCTACGATATTCTACGTTTAGTCATGTTCAGTCTTTCATGTCTTTCATTGTTTAGATTTGGTCTTCCTCACCATTGTTCTCAATCGTTCACCCTGTATATAAATACACATGGTTGCGGCTCAAATTTAAGGTCACGATCCATGCACCTGATCCATGTCGCAGGTGACCGATCTATAGGTATGGATCACCGCGGAATGATCATGAATGATCCATATCCTTTTTTTGAGCCACGGCCATTGAGAATTATAGGTATTCTATAACATATACATAATTATATTTATACATATTTAATACTGTATATACTGTATATGATTTGTTTGCAATATTCATGGATGTTCCTCGAAACATAGCGGGGCAACACCCATTTTTTCTGGGTATCCAAATTGGACGGCCTTCGCCGAGGCACAGTTCTTGGCAACGCCACAAGATCAGGAACGTTTCGTGCGGACAGCTGAACTCGCCGGAGCCAACCACTCACCTTTGGCGCAGGTGTGGCATTCGGAGGATCATTTGTGCGACTGGTGAAAAGTTGGATCATCCCCGGCGGAATGGTCATCAACCCATTAATTAAATTAATGCATAGGGGTTAATAGCTATACATAAATACCCCGCATAAAGGATTCCCAAGATGGGATGGATGATCATGAACCATACGTCATATTTTGACAGTTTTTGACCAGGCACATATCCTATTAATCAATCATACCATGTCATATATTGGTGTGTGCCTGAAAATATCTTAAAATAGATTACACCAAATGGTTGCTGATCATGTTCCCCATTAATATCCATTAATATGTTTATGGGCGTGGGTATTTTGCACCTCTTCAGTGCACATTGAGACATTTACTTGTGCCGCTTGTGCCGTGTATAAAAGTTGCATTCTCATGTTGGTACCAATCAGTGTGTCAACTTAGTTTCGGGTAGGTAATGTTTTCCTTTGCCATTGTTTGCTGTCATTCTATTTTGATTTCGGAACAAAATTAGCTTGACACTTTAGTCATTTAAGTTCATGCTCAATCGCTTAAATACTGAAGCAACATTAACCAACTATTGATTAATTACTTGAAAAATCCTTGCAGTAGTTCTTGCGAGTGGGTTGCATGATCTCATTGCCAGGTGATGCACGTTGGAATGCGGGACGGCCTTGGGAACGTGATTCCAGTGCAGGTTTTTCACATCGCACTTTTTGACTTAAAGGGCGAGGCAAGGCATTTGGTTGGCGTGCGCCACTTGCCTTTAATTGAATGGCATTGGCTTTTGATTTACGCAGTTCGCAACCCGAAGATTCAATATGTGCAACCTTAAAATTGTGAATTTGCAGCATTTTGCAGCCGCATAAATCTGGAATTCAAAAAGATTTGGCAGCCCCCAGCTGCCCCGGCGCCAAAGCCAGTGCCCACTTTAGCACTTTTCCGTGCGTGGCCTAGATCGCACCAAGGTGAATATGGCGATCAAGTCCTTTGTGCCCTTGACTTGTGCTGGCAAAGATTATTCAAGGGTCTTCGGATGTTTAATATATGATACCGATACCAGATATACTGCCCGGCCCATGCCCGGGCGGAAGTTTCAAAAAAATGGAACGGCTATAAGAAATCAATGGCCTACAGGATTTGTTTGAGATGCAGAAGCAATGAAGTGTTGAAGTTGTGAGGTGCATCGATGAGCAAACGGTCGTTGAGATGCTAATAAAATTACATGGAAAAATCCATGCACAACTGACCGAATGAACCACTGAATCAATGAAACAGTGAACCAATGAAGCAACGAAGCAATGAATCAATGAATGAATGAACCCATGACCACATGAATGAATGAAATGAAATGAAATGAAATGAATGAAATGAATGAATGAATGAGTGAATGAATGAAATGAATGAATGAATGAATGAATGAGTGAGTGAGTGAGTGAATGAATGAATGAGTGAGTGAATGAATGAATGAATGGAATGGAATGGAATGAATGAATGAATGGAATGGAATGGAATGGAATGGAATGGAATGAATGAATGAATGAATGAAATGAATGAAATGAAATTAAATGAAATGAAATGACATGACATGACATGACATGAATGAATGAATGGAATGGAATGGAATGGAATGGAATGCATGAATGAATGAATGGACTGGAATGGAATGAATGAATGGAATGGAATGGAATGGA